AAATAATAACCTCTTAAAATTGTTTAAACCAAATTCCAGAATATAAATAATTATTCAGGTTAATTTTCAGACAAGAAATCCATTTAGTCATCCAAAAGCTTCCTTTTATTTTAGGAATTGATTTCAGATTAATATTCTTAATATCTGTTTTTCAATTTTCTAGCAAAGAAACAATTCTATTATCATAGAGTATTATATTGAAGAATTGCTGGTGTTTAGCTTGAAAAAACAAACCTTATTGATTCTATTGACTAACATCAGTGCTGCAAGATAAAGTTAAAATTTCAACTTTTCCCATAAATAAATCATTAGAAGAAAATTTTTAAAGATTCAACATATAAAAGGAGTCATATTAGATAGGTGTATACTATGGCTTAATAAGGTAAGATATATGTTATTCTTTGATGACTTTGTACCTGTATTATAGTCATAATTAAAAAAAATTAGTATATATTTTTTTAGAATTAGCTTATAATTGATAACTTACTATCAAAAAAGATGATCAAATTTCATTCCAGTATGGCTTGATTTTCTATAATTTAGGCTCTTTATTTTAGCAGTCATTCTTGCAGTAACTTGGAACTTATTTAATGCATATCCATATCCTTTTAGTATTTAGGTAGAAGAATCACCGCTAAGCTGTTGAATTGTACTAAAAAGATCTTCAAGTATATTTTGTGATATTTTATGAGGTATAATAGTTAAATTTGAATATAAAGAAAAAACTTCTTATACTATTCTAAGAAATCCTTGAATAGACAAAAGAAAATCAAACTGGTATTGCGGTAAGATCCAATTTATTTTATCAGTTTTTTGTTTATTTCTAATTATAAACCAATCCATAATTTCTTTTAGAGTTTGAAGACAAATATCAGTAGAATATTTCAAAGGTTTATTGCTATGAAATATTTGACAATAAAAATAAGAATATCTTATAAATTCTTAAATAAGAATTTTATTAATATTTAATATTTAATATTTATATATATTAATGTTTAATTATTACTTACTCTTATTCCTATAGAAATTTCCTTTAATTCATCAATCATTTCTATCACATTTTCAACATCTTTTGATAATATTTGTTCAGCAAGATTAACCCGTATCTTATTCTAAGAAATAAGTCAAATATGTTATTTAGTAAGTTTTGTAATTTTTGCTGTTATATTTTGACAAGTATAATTATAAACATCTTGAATATAACGTCAACTAACTTCTTTTCTATCTATTATAATTTCTCTAATATTTTGACTATTATCCTCTCCAATATTACTTTTTGAAAGATTATTCTGAAGTTTTTTAAAAATATGTGTAGGATTACTAATGAAGAACTATGGCGTGCCAGTAATTGGATTATTATTTTATAATTTGTCCATTTTATTGTATCATCATAAAGAGGTCTAATATATATACTTTAATATTTAAGTTTTACTTTTCCATTCTTCTTTGGTAGATAATATAATAATAGTAAAGATATGTATTTTAGAATCAAAGTTTGTAATAATAACTTCATACTATTTATTATTTTTTGGATTTTTAAATTCACAAGAATCATTAATTTTCCAACTCAATTTAGTAGGTTTTACTGGTCTCAAAGCTTTACGATTAATCTGAAATTAATTAGAAAAGTATAAATCTATTATATGTACTGTAAATTTACTACGATTAATATTTATTGCTATAATTTTCACTTTTTCATAATTATTTTTTCCAATATTAACTTCAATAATATCATTTATAAACCAAATAGAAGTCCACCAGTTGAAGCTTTTAATATGATTCCAATTTTCTTCAGCTCTATCACAAATAGATCCACAAGTATGAATGCCAATATATTCAAGATTAGCTGCGAGTTGAAAAAGTATTTTATTAATTTCATCTTTTAAAATCAGATAAGTTACTATTATTGTTTTTTGTTTATAATTCTTTTTCACATTGTATAATAAATGACGATAATTATTCTTTTTTATCCTTAAAATTCAAATATCCAATATAGAAATTATCCTGTTAACTCCAAAGTAAACCTATTTGGTATTAAATATAGATAAGTATTAATATATTTTTATTTATTTTTATAAATATTTTATCATAAACTAACCTTTTTGTATTTTAAAGGAATCATGAGAAAAGAATTCAATTCGTTCATTATTACTAATATTTTCTACTGCCATTTTTTTTAGAATATGGTAAGCGGTTTTATCTTACCATCCTGAATGTTGTTGATTTCATTTATATAGCTTTTTATTGTAGATATCGAAGGTAACTGCATAATACTTTTCATTATTTTATAAGCAGAATAACCTGCCCGATTATAAATAGAAATAGCTCATTGTAAAAACCTAAAGGAAAAGGTAAATTAAATGATTTTATTAATCTTATTTTATTTTATTTCTTTTTTTTAATAATCATATACTTACATTAGATGATATTTCACTCTTTTTGCTTTTCCACTTTAAATTCCAATTAGTTTTTGAAAATTGAAATAAGAGGAGAAATATCAATTTTATTTTCTGTGATCTTATTAGCTACTTTTTAAGCAATTTGGCCTAACTTTTCTAATACCTTTTCTCTTTTCTCATCCACTATTTTTTGAAGTCAAGCTTGCAATTTTCTTTTTTTTTTTTTTTTTAATAAAAATAAATTAATTTTTTTAAAATTTTTTTATTTAATACTTTTATTTAAATAACAATTACCTTTCTTTGAATTTGGATTTTTTGAACTAAAACTTCTTAGGAGTTATGAATAACTTTATTAGATAAAATACCCACAAGATTCTGACTTTTAATTTTTATTAACGTATTTTTTAATTTTTGACAATTATTACATATATTTATTTTAGTTACTAACAAATTACAATCTATTTTTCTATAAGATTAATTAAGTTGATCTTGATTCTCTTGAGTTACAAAGAGTTCATGAATGTTATCAGAATTCTTTTGATTTTTTACAAAATAAATACCCCAAAGATGAACTACTTCATTGAATCCTAAAATAATAATTTAAAATATATAAATGTATAAATATATAAATTAAAATTATTAAAATTATAATAAATTCATACCTTCAGTCTTTTGTCTGATGCATATTTTTGCTATAGATACATAATTAATTATTTTTTCTATCTCTGAAAGAGTTCTTTCAATTGCAACTTCTATTTTTATTCCATTTATTTTTTTAATACTTTTTCCAAAACATATAACTTGCAAGAAATCAAGTTTTTTAAATTAAAATTTTTTTCTATTTTTTGTTTTTTTCTGAAAAATGCAATATCTATTTCATTAACAATTTCTCTAATTCTTACATTAAATAACTCTTGCTTTAAAATTATATTTGTTTCAACTAATGATTTAACTTCTTCTATGCTTGCTAAATTAGAATTTTTCTAATATGAGATTTTTTTAGTTTTTAATAATGAAACCAAATTAAAACTGGAAGAATTAAGTTCAAAAAAATGGTAATTAGCGCTGAACGCTCATCACTAAATACTTTTTTTTTGATATTTAATCTAAGAAGCAAAAGTACTAAACTTTTCACTAGTTTTTTTATCAAAAATATAAAAAGTTTTGTCTTTTTTATCATAAGTCAGGAACCTTCTACATATTAGGCCTGTTCAATTCTGATTGATGCATTTTTTGATGCATATTGTGATTAACCAATCACAATTCATAATTTTAATATACAAAATTGAATAGAGTTGATGCATAGATTAATGATACGACATATTCTAAAATGTCTAAAAAACAAGAAATAGAAAATGCGCTTCTTTTAACAACTATTCAAGAATTTCTTTATGAAAGTGAAAGTGATTCTGAAAAAAACAGTGATTTTAAAGAAGAAATTGAAGTTAATAATTTAATTACCTTTAATTTACTTTTACTTTCAGAAACAAGATATTCTAATACTTATTTATATAATATTCCAAAGTCTTCTCACTGATATTATGAAGTTTTACTAACTTATGATAATAATCGTTTTAAAAAAATATTACGAATGCCATTTAAACATTTTAAAACTTTAGTTAATTTAATTTCTGATCATGAAAATTTTCAAACTAAAAAACAAAAAAAACAAGCACCAGTAGAATTACAATTAGCAGTTTTTTTACATAGAATTAAAGGTAAAAGTAATATTTTTGAAATATATTCACAATTTGGTATTGCAGAAGGAACTGTAATTTTATATATAAAAAGAGTAATCAAAGTAATAATTTCAAAAAAATCATTAT